CTGCGCTTAATCAGCGGCCAGGCGATTTGCCTCAACCTCCCACTCCACCATAAACGTCTCCCCCTTACTCTCATAGATATTGTGGAGCACACAGCAAGCAGTAATAACGATGTGAATATTGGTTTCGCTGAGGTCTAACCGAGTCAGTAAACTGCGCCAGCGCGCTTTTAAATGTCCAAAGGCACATTCTACCACCATTTTGCACTTGCTCAGCCTATAGTTGAACAGCTCCTGACTACTGTCCAGGGTGCCTGTGTATGGCTTCATGAGCCATGGCATTAAGGGGTAGGCTGGGTCCCCAAGGATAACTATAGGCATTTCAACATCCCCAACGGTTATTTTCTGGTCTGGAAAGTAAGTCCCTTGCTGCAGCCGTTCACACAGACCAGAGTTCCTAAAGAGCGAGCGTCATGTACCTTTCCCGGCCATCCCACGTTGATGGTGGTGAAACGTCCCTTGTGATCCACCAGTGCTTGCAGCACCATTGAAAAGTAACCCTTGCGGTTTATGTACTGGCTGCCTTGGTGCTCCGGTCCCAAGAGAGGGATATGCGTTCCATCTATCGCCCCACCACAGTTAGGGAATCCCATTGCAGCAAAGCCATCCACTATGACCTGCACATTTCCCAGAGTCACTACCCTTGATAGCAGCAGGTCAGTGATCGCGTTGGCTACTTGGATCACAGCAGCCCCCACAGTAGATTTGCCCACTCCAAATTGATTCCCGACTGACCGGTAGCTGTCTGGCATTGCAAGCTTCCACAGGGCTATCGCCACTCGCTTGTGAACTGTGAGAGCTGCTCTCATCTTGGTATTCTTGCGCTTCAGGGCAGGGGAAAGCAAGTCACAAAGTTCCATGAAAGTGCCCTTATGCATGCGAAAGTTTCGCAGCCACTGGGAATCATCCCAGACCTTCAACACTATGCGGTCCCACCAGTCTGTGCTTGTTTCCCAGGCCCAGACTCATCGTTCCACAGCATGAACCTGCCCCATTACCACATGATGTCCAAATTGCCAGGGCCCATGCTTTGAGAGAAGTCTGTGTCCATGTCCTCATCACTCTCGTCACTGCACTGCCGTCGCCTCCTCGCCTGCTTTTGAAGTTTCTGGTGCTGCATATACTGCAGGATAATGCACGTGGTGTTTACAGTGCTCATAATTGCCGCGGTGATCAGAGCGGGCTCCATGCTTGCCGTGGCATGGCGTCTGCAGGAGAGCAGGAGAGCACAGTGGCAGCGGAAGCGGTCATTTGATGACTACAGTTTGCAGTCCTATTGCACCGTCTGCTGCCAGCAGCACCCAGGACATAACAGCAGTGGCTGAGCTGAGCGGGCTGTACGCTTACTGTGGTATGGTGTCTGCGTGGAAAAAAGGCGCAAAACGATTGTCTGCCGTTGCTCTGACGGAGGGAGGAGCGACTGACAACATGGCTTATAGGGTTGGCTTACAGGGAATTAAAATCAACAAAAGGGGTGGGTTTGCATCAAGGAGAAACACACATAACTGTCACACCGAAGCCTGGCCAGTCATGAAAATGGTTTTCAAAGCCCCTGTGAGGAGCAGCGCGCCTTGCTGTGCTCTTCTAATCACAAACAGCCTAGTCAGCAAACAGCGCCAGCGAGCTTTTAAACGTCCAAAGGCACATTCTACCACCATTCTGCACTTGCTCAGCCTATAGTTGAACTGCTCCTTACTACTGTCCAGGCTTCATGAGCCATGGGAGCAAGGGGTAGGCTGGGGTAGGTTCGACCACGCAGTGCTGCCGGCTGGGAGAACAGCCTGAGGCAGAAGCCTCCAGCTCACATGATATTCCAGGCAGGACTGAATTTCCGTGAGATGAAACTTAAAGAAGAGAATGACCTGGAGTCACTCCCATTTATGTCCAGGTGCCCCTTACCGACCTCACCGAGGTTGGCCAGGAGCACCCATGTCTGCCCAGGCGCCCCGACCAACCTCACCGAGGTCAGCCAGGAGCACCCAGGAGACGATGACGGCGGCTAGCAGTCGTATTGCACCATCTGCTGCCGTGAAGGCAAGGAGCTGCTGCTGTGTAGCAATGCAGTACCACGTCTGCCAGCAGCACCCAGGAGATGTACGGTGACAGTGAGCTGAGCGGGCTCCATGCTTGCCGTGGTATGTCATCTGCAGGAAAAAAGGTGAGAAATGATTGTTTGCCGTTGCTTTCACGGAGGGAGGAAGGGAGGGAGGGAGGGGGCCTGACGACATGTACCCAAAACCACCTGCGACAATGTTTTTGCCCCATCAGGCATTGGGAGCTCAACCCAGAATTCCAATGGGCGGCGGAGACTGCGGGAACTGTGGGATAGCTACTGACAGTGCAACGCTCCGAAAGTCAAGGCTAGTCTCGGTACTGTGGAGGCACTCCACCGATTTAATGCGCTTAGTGGGGACACATACAATCGACTGTATAAAATCAATTTCTAAAAAATTGACTTCTATAAAATGGACCTAATTTCTTAGTGTAGACATACCCTTAGTCACCAAGTCTGAAAATTAACTTCAGTAGGGTTCCACATGGGAGCAGGGATCCACCCATGTGGGTTTCTGTGGGCAGAACAGAAGTCCTAAACCAGGCCATATGAATTATTAGCACAGCACTAGATGCAGTTCTGCTAGTAGCCTCCTCCTAAAAATCCTGCTCCATGGCGTATTTAGTCCCACACAGGTGTATAAGAACTATGGTTTCCCCTCTCCTCAAAAATCCCTGTTTAATCACTGGTCAAAATTAAAACTGAGTTCAGCAACTGATGTTTGAAATTCCTTAGCACTGCTCTTAATAGCTTCCAAAATCACTTTCATAGTGGGTTTGTATTCTGTGAAGGTGAAGTGGGTTTGGATAAACCATCATTAGAAATCATCAGAAGGTGTTACACTGGCCTATGTTGTATGGACTTTTTGGTCAAATAAACTTGCTTTGTGATACCTTGGTCAAGTTGAATCAAAGCCATATAAAACGTTAAAGAAAAAAAAAGCACATCATGGGAATTTTTCAGGTGCACAATTCTGCCCAGTCCTGCCTGAGCTGTATTGACATGCAACACCAATATTAATCTTTAATCAAAAACAAAACAAAAAAATCAACCAACAAACAAAAAAACTTCAAGTATACATAGTAGCTACTTTTTAACCATGTTTATTAACAACAATATGGATTTACCTTTGTCATGAAGTTACAATTAACATTGTATTATAATGTAATGGCTAAAGCCATTGCAGCGTCAGTGGAAGTGTCCCTTATACTTTCCATAACCATTATAAAACTGATATTTTAACACTGCTCCCTCCCATATTGGCTAGCAGAAATGTCTCAGAACACATTCAATAGCAGATAATGTTTGGTGCCTATGGAAGGGTCCCATATGTATCTGAGTTAATGGCAACACCTCATATGCTTCCTTTGACATTCCAGGAGTTGGTTTAGATTTAAAAACTGATTCACCTTTTTGGATAATTATAGCAATTTGTTTGATGTTGCAATTCATTTGAACTAAATTGATTAACATGCTCGAAAAAAATATGAAGCAGAAATATGACGGCCAAATTCTCTCTGGATGTACACCTCCTTCAATCCTACTGAACTCCATGGGATTGCACAAGGTATGAGTCTGGACAAAAATTGTCCCAGTGGGACAAGTTCACTCCTGGTGTAGGTGGGTGTAATCCCATTGAGATCAATGGAGTTGAGCCTGATTACACCAAAGAAGACTGAATTTGGCCCACTTATGCTGTCCTTTGAAGTCAGTGGAGCCGCACAGGGATGAATTTGTCCTCAGATGTTTAATCACTTTTTTCATTCCTTTGCTCTTATATTTTCTTTTTCTGCTTTGTTCTGTTTTCTTACTGACCTACTTTTCTCTGTGCTTTTAAAAAATTTCCCTTCTCTTCATCCCTTTTTATACTACTTTGTGCGTTACTTTTTATATAGTCAATGTGACATATGGGTTAATTCAGCTAAGCATTAGTTTCCTCAGGAAATAACTGGAATATTATCATTTTCACTTTATACAGATGCCCAACAAAATAAGGGTTTGATTCTGGACTCAGGCAGAGCTCTTGCTGAAGTCCATGGGATTTTTGCTCGAGTAAGAACTGCAGGCCCAGACCCATAAATAGTACTGTATATCAGGTGTTCCTCAATACAGCAATAATTCAGAATGACTTGACTTATCACAGAAGAGTAGGTGAATTACCTATCAGCAGACTGTAATGAGAGCAGTCATTTAAGTAGGATTATCTCAAAAACATATGTAACAGCTGTGGGCATGTGAATAAAAGTGTATGATCCTTGCAATCTTGAACCCTAGGCTAAAACACTATATCCATACTGAAACAAAAAGTTTAGCTCACATAAGTCAGGAGTATATAGAGTTTGTAAAACAAATAATCATCAAAAACTATTCTTTTAAGTTGTCTCTTCAATCAGGGTACAACAAACATGCTGATCAGAAAACAGTTTTTTGTGTAAGGCCCAGTCCTGAAACCCTTACTTAGGGTCAGATTCTGTCCCGTTTGACACCCTGTGCAAGCCTCCAATGGAGTGTATATTAGGGCAGAATTTGGTCCTTATTGCCTACTCATGTAAAACTCCTATTGACTAAAATGGGAGCTTTGACTTAGTAAGTAGTTCAGGACAAGACCCTTAAGGCCAAATGCTGTTCCCACTGACATCAACAAATTATTGATACTGATTTCGGTGAGAGCAGGCTTGGTCCTTATAGTATAATTAAAGATATAATGTGGACACAGGAAATTCCTGGTGAGGAAAGGACAGAACAGCCCACTTTGTAAAAATCAAAACACATAATAAACCCTCTCCAGATCTCCACAGATTCATTAATTATTCTCACAGTTTTTCATCAATATAATGTTAAGAAAATTCCTATATGATAAGAACTGTAGCTACAAAAAGAAGGATGTAATGGTGACAATAAAAGAAAAAAAAATCAGTAATTTCAACTTAGATAAGGTCTTCCTGATTTATCCGATCTTTGTAAAGACATTTACATTTTCATATATAATTTATAGAATTCATTTATGTGCACAGAATTGTATTAAATAAATTAATTTAAAATTAGGAAAACTCAGGCATGTCATTTAAGCCAAAAATACCAGGTTCAGCGAGATACATTATCAGTAAAAACCAAAATCCTGATTCTGCAACTGCATCTGTGCAGGCAGAGCCTGTGCCCATGTGGAACCTCGCTGATTTCACAGTAAGACTCAATGTGGATGCAAAGGTCTGCTCAAGCAGATACAGTTGCAAGATCAGGGCCCAATTCAGGATGCCGTTGTGTTCATATTTAATGAAAAAGGGGAGGCGAGTCTAATTACTGACACATCTGTTAGCTGTCCTGTGCCCAAGCTCTTGCCCCTACATGAGACCTAAGTACAGATTTACATCTAGAACATTATGAGATTTTATATAAATGCAAGAAAGGCACCATAAAACATTAGGAAAAAAGAAAAGAAAATCCTAAAAATTGTATCATTTTTAGATATTGTACAATACTTTAAATTTACAGATTTGGCTGGACAAACTGCAGACATTCAAATAAGTCAATATTTAAATGTTCTCAGATGTTGAAAAACCTATTTATCATCACAAAAATATCTTCGCAATTAGGCTTTAATATGATCAGGCAGCACATAAAGAATGTAGTAAAGGTTGAATGCGATGGCAAATCAGTGATAGCTAATTGTGCTTCAAGACATCTTTCAGAATTTACCACCTGAGCTTTGTTCTGGCACAAGCCATAGAACGCAGCTTATCATCCACAGATCCTGTATCACTGACACAATATATACACTCTACAGTATGCATGTACTTTCACATAATAAGGTTATCATGTAACATCCACGAATATTTCTGTAAAAGAAATATGGAGGCAGAAATTACAATGGATTCATAGTAAACAGTTCAAGTCCTTCACAATACAATCTACAGCATTTAGCCATGATTAAGACTGCTGTGACATTTTTGATGTATAATAAATCCTCAGCAGGGCTGGGCTTTGATCAAACAGTGCTCTGAGTGAGCTGGAACTGGCACTCCCATACATTTGGAGTTCTTGTTGCTAGAGGTGGCCAGGCCCAGAACAGGCTGCCCATGAGTCCGTGGTACATGCAGGCTGCAATTTGGGGGAAGGCAACAAATAGAAATCTTGTTCAGTGGGAAAGGGTGGAGGCTCCCACAGGGTTCCATGGCAAAGCCCTGGTAAGGACCCATAGGTAGGCACTAGTTCTGCTACTGCACCTCTGCAGAAGTGAACTGTAGAAAGGCTATGAGAGCAAGAGGAGGTCTCGGGGAGAATGCTCAATATGCTGCAGGTTTTGAATCCCCAAACTTGGTGGGAGGTGGTATGGGGAAGGAGTCTGAGGGTCCTTTCTTGGCACCTTTGTTAAATGGCATTATAGAGCTAATAAGAATGTGACCCCCCTTCCCTCTCTCCTCCTCAACCCCTCGTTTTTAAACATTCAGTATTCTTCAATTTGGACAATTCAGCTGTTTTTCTCTATTACCTCTCCCATTTCCTAATTCCTGACATGGCTTTTTGGAAGAAACACTAGCTGTCTGGGACCAACAGGCTGGGATTTTAAAGATCTTTTTCACTGTCCCTGCCTCCCTGCTGTTATTTTCCATTTTTTCCCCATCCCTTTTTTTCTTCTCCAAATTCATATTCTCCTTCTCCTTTGCTTATCACATTCTCTCTCTTTTTTTCCTCTTCACCCCTTCTGTAGTCTCTCTCTCTTCCCTTATCCCCTTTGTTTTTCCCTCTGATTTCAATACCCCATATGTTACCACTTTCACTTCCTTCACAGACTTCTGACACAGAATCACGGAGTATCAAGGTGCAATTGTGAAGCATAGTGCCACCTTCAGGGCAGAAAGAAGAATTGCTTCTACAATAACGGCAGCGCCCTTTCCTCTCCTGTTGATTCTGCTTCCAGAATGCTTCAGATCCACGGGAAGGGCACATCAGTGATACCAGCAAGTTTGGTAAGGAAAGCTGCCCCTGAATTTTTGGTGCAGTAGTCCAGATTATCCATCTCTAAGGCCAGCTCTTATCCTTTGAATTTGTACATTTCATAGCAAAAGAAGGTTCTTATCATAAAGAACAACCTGAAAGTGGTGTGCAAAGTCCTTTGCCACAGCACTAAATCACCAAAAATATTACAGAAGTTAACATTCTAAAGCTGAGAGTGTTAAAATAACTGATTAATGATGAGTTAATTTGTATATCTTGCAACTAGCAGCCATTTCTAGTCCCATATTACTAGTTTCCTTGGTACCTTGCTAGCAGCTGTAGATAATATTTTTCTTGTAAACATAAACTATTGTCTAATTCAGGACATATATATTTGTAATTAATCCAGAAGCAAAGTGCTTTAAATCTTACGATTTTTACTTCTGTATTGTAGAAACAACACTATTTCTAAATGCTCAGATCTTTGCTTTCTGACACAGTCTGCAGTATTAACTTTGTAGATTACTCATTATTTACACCTACTGTACTACATAAAAGTGATGTACATTAGGTATAAATCTGAATTTTAGCTGTCACTTAAGCATGCATTGTCATGCAACTAGAAGATATGGGCTCATACAACTGCCTTTCAGATTCTTCCTGATTCTTGCAATTTTATCTTATTAAAAAGGCTTTCAAAAGAGTTCATGCTATGATATGTATGACTAAAGGAATTACTCAGCCAAAGAAGAAAACCCATAAATTGTTATTTAAGTTTGACATGAGGCAAGCTGAGTGCATCTGAACTGTCCCCTGGCTTGCAAATGCTTTGAGATGATCTTGATATTCCAGTCCTTAGAGAGTCAGTAGAGAGAGCTGTTTCCACTAATGAGCGAGAGATGCTTTCAAAAGCCTCTGTTTTTGTCTCTGCTTCCAATTCTTCATCTGTTATAAATAATTTTGACTCCCTCCATTTGGAGTACACTTCTTGGCTCCCTCTTGAGCCACTGGAGTCATTCCCAGCAATCTGTACATTCAGTTCTTCGGATGATTGTATAAGGTTTTGTACAGATAAAGATTTTCCTAAATCCATTTGCACTACTGGTTTAACTGAGACCAAGGGTTCCCCTTCTGTATCAAGGTTTTTTCTCCAGGAAAGATCCTTTGTCACTTTGGACTGTGCAACTTGTCCATTATCCTTTAAAGCAACAAGGCAAGCAGTGACATCAGAAATATTTTCCTGTGTGGTTGCAGGAATAATATGAAGAGGCTCAGGCCAGTTGGCATGCTTGACTGAGGAGAAAGGTGGTATTTGTAACGTTGTTGGTGTTGTTGGCTTAGTTGCCTGGTTTATTTGGTTTGATGTATTATTAGTTATTACTGTTGCAGGTCCATCATTTGGCACCTGTGTTGCTTGACTATGCATAGTTGGACTAAAAGCATAGTAAGCCTGAGTGCTAAATTCATTTGGTGTCAGTATAAGCTGTAGGCCACGAGTCATGTTGGCACTAGCTGATCTGGATACACATCCACTAGTTTGTGCAGAACTAGATAAATCTTTGCTGTCTACAGGACTTTGATAATCAGAGGTCTGGTCACATTCAAAAGATGGCATTTGAAATGAAGCCAAAGTGAGCGCTGATGCAGATCCTTTCCTTAAGACCTGTTGATAAATATCTAACAGGCTGTCCAGTTTTGACTCTATGGATTGTACCTGCAGATTGGGAAAAAAAGGTTAAAGTAAGTACAAAATATTATTTAAAAACATTTGCCTCCCTAACGCCTCTCTAGAATCTAAGCAAAGAGAAAATGTAACAGATAATAGGAACAATCCACATATAAGGGAAATGTGTTTCTCTGTATAAAAGAGCTACTCATCAAAAAAAGAAAGCTATTAAAAGCAGTGTATTTACAGATGCTTCATGATCAAGTTAATGTTCTAGCTATTAAAGGCTGCAGATTTCAGTAGTGTATGTTTTTCCATTTCTGTATACAAAGCACATTTAATGTAATATAATTTGTGTGTGTTTTACTTCAACATTTAAAATAGTGCAGACACCAAATAAAGTTATTTTACCAAATTGTTGTAAATTGAAAACATCCATTATTCATTACAGAAAGTTATAAGCAATAAAACAAAATCATGGTCTCATACAGTCACTCTACCTGCTTCTCCACCTTGACTACACGCCCTAACATACTAAGGTCATCAGTTGTCTCATTCTCTGCAGTATTCTTTTCTCGACTTTTCTTATCTGTTGTGATTTGTCCTTTTCCAAGAATCTGGTCAACACTGTGAAAGAAATTGGAGACTATAATGATCCCTGAAAATGGTGAAATTGTGGAAGTATCCACTGTTCACATCTATTGAAAATTACAATTACAACAACTATTTAACAGTTTCTGAAAAATGCCTAAGAAAAAGGATAGATTTATTTTTGTTAAAATAATAGTAATTAAAGTTCACAAAAATACTATAAAAGAGCATAGAATGATGTTTAAAGCATCTGGGGAGAGCAAAATGTGAAGCTAAATGGCAATGGAGTTATATTTACTGTTACTTTTGAGATTTGTTACACATAGAAATAAATGATAACAGATACTTATTTGTGAGGGATAGTTTAGTCTCGAGTTATTGGCTCAATCCTCCAAACACTTACTACTGGGTACATTGCTTACTACTATTAGTAGTCCCATTGGTCAAATACAGTACAGACCCATTTACGCGGGAATCCGCTTAACGTGTGGTAGCGCCATTCCTCCCAGTGCTACCTATTTAACACGCGAGACTCGTTAACACGCAGTACAGGAACTTGCTATGTAGCGCTACAGATTTGCTCACTAACTCACTGACACAGAAATCAACAGGAAGTGCGGAGCGGAAACGTGTTGTACGTCTTTACCGCCGACGGGGGGGGGAGAGGTGGGGAAGGGGTAGCAACGTTAAAGCGCTGCCGCGGCAAAGGACCATCCTTAAAGCGCTGCCGCTCTCTCTCTCCCCCCGTCGGCAGCCCTGCCGGTAGGAACCCTACCAGCAGGGCTGCCGACGGGGGAGGCAAAAAGGGCAGGGACCTTAAAGCGCTGCCGCAGCAAAGGACCCTGCAGCGCTTTAAGGTCCCTGCCCCTTTTGCCCCCCCTCGGCCGCCGAGAGGCAGGGGGAGGGGGGAGGGAGCAGCTGCCCCGGGGCCGGCGATTTAAAGGGGCCCGGGGCTCCGGACGCTGCTATCGCAGCAGTGGCGTCCGGAGCCCCGGGCCCTTTAAATCGCCACGGGAACCCTGGGTGGCGTGGACCAGGCAACCTGGAAGGGCTGGCTGGGGGATGTGACCCCTAGTGCCGCCCCTTCCGCCTGAGGCCCTGCCCCTTCTGGGGGCCAGAGCCACCCCCGCCCCGTACCGGTAAGTGTCCTGAGTTACTTTCACCCCTGTGTAGTAGTAATAATGTTCTTATTAGATTACACATTTGAATTTATATTCTTGCAAAGCACCGCTAACAGATAGGCCTGCAGTATTTGGGACGCTGTGAATACGTATGTAATCCTAGATAATTATACATGTATATATCTTAAGATATTTCAGCATGGCCCTCTTAACCCGAGGTTGCGATGGCTTGACTCCCGATATCCGCGCTTAAACGGGTCTGTACTGTATGACCAAAAGTGTTTAAAGCATGGGGCCCAACATGTATATCTCATGCTTAGTTGTATCTGTATTACACCAGCACAACATAGAATTTTAAAAAAAATAAGTAGGTGTTGAGAGTGGTATGGAGAGATTTATTGTAATGTTTGCTCTTACTCTAAACCAGTGAGTGACATCAAGCAGGGGAAAGTTGCTTAAGAGAAGGTTTAAAAAAAGTAATGTTCAGCAATAAGGGCTATAGGCTTTGAATCAATGTCTCAGAGAACTAATGAGCAGTATTGAGCCCTGCACCTCTGGAGGTTCTTCAGATGTCATTTCATAGTGGCCAACTGGCATACAGTATATAGCAATCAGAGGTGGAGGGAACTGCAAAACTCTGCATTGGAAAGGTTGGGCACAAACAGAGAGCTTGGGCTTCTAAATCTGGGAAGTGCTTCCCAAATGCAAATATAAGGAGGGCTCTATATGTATCATGGATTTGTCTGTTTATTACTGTATGGAGTCCAGAATATTAAAATATAGGATCCGGGCCATTGTGGTGCTAACGGCCCTCAGCTTCTATTAACAGTCACTGTATTAAATATTCCGTCAGTTTATGAGTGCACTTTAAAAAAAAAAGGGGGGGGTTACGTTTTCAAATTTTCTGGGCCCAATTTACATCCACATTTTTTCCACCCACAATTTACTTGCAGGCCTAACTGCATTCACAAAAAGGAAGACCAAGCTACAGCACAGGTGAAAACTTGGGTCAAAAAAAAATTGGTAATGTAAAAGACACACAATTCTTCTGGTGCTAAATGACAAAACAGCTCAAGGTATTTTTACACAGGAAGGTTCTTCAATGATGAAGGATTATTCTTTCCTTACCGGGACTGAAGACTTTTTATTCTGCACAACATATCAAGGTGACCAGCTGAATACTGTTCAATTACATCTTTTACATCATATGGACGTAATGTCTCTTTAAACTTTCTCTTTGCAACATGAAATTTCATGATTCTGTGGAAGAAACATTTTTCCAAATTAATCCTTATACATTTTTGTAAAACAATAAAGTCATCAACACTGATTCAAATGTTAGCTCTGTCTATCTTTTCATAATTCGGACAGCTTTGTGTTACATCAGATAAGCTAAACTAAGGACTTGTCTACACTATAAAGTTTTGTCAACAAAAGGCAGCTTTTGTCAACAAAACAGTGAATGCATACACACTGTGATTTGACTTTTGGTGGCAAAAATGCCCTGTTTTGGTGACAAAATACAATCACCCCAAAGAGAGACATAAGTTTTTTTCCTCTAAATTTTTGTCAACAAAGTGCCAATGTGTAGACGCCACGCTTGATTTTATTGCTTTAATTGGCCTCCTGGAGGTGTCCCACAATGCCCATCGTGATCACTCTGGTCAGCAGTTTGAACTCCACTGCCCTGCAGTCAGGTAAATAACTATCCGCCCCTCCCCCTTAGAAGCCCCCGAAATTTTTGAAATTCCATTTCCTGTTTGCTCGGCATGGAGAGGTCTCATTGCATCTTCCCAGGTGACCATGGCAGGTAATCGCAGCAAACGCTCTCCCGCTTGGACCACTGCAGAGCTGCTGGATCTGCTCAGTATATGGGGAGAGGAGGCTGTGCAGTCCCAGTTGCACCTGAGCCGTAGGAATTGGGATACCTACAGGCACATTTCTCAAGGCTTGTGTGAAAAGGGCTATGATTGGGACACGCTGCAGTGCAGAGTGAAGATAAAAGAGCTGAGGCAGGCGTACCATAAGGTGAAGGAGGCAAACCGTCGCTCCGATGCTGCACCTAAGACCTACCAGTTCTATAAGGAGCCGAACTCTATCTTTGGTGGCGACCCCACCTCCACTGCCAAGAGCCCCACGGATACTTCGGTGGGCCTGGAGGCGGTGGAAAGAGGACCTAATCCGAAGGACAAAGTCATTGATGAAGAGGTGGAGTTAGACAATGATGTGGCGCTCCCAATGGGGTTGTCCTGTGAGGCAGACATCCAGGAACTGTTCACCATGCCAAAGGTGTCTAGCCAGTCTCAGCAGTTGCACTCTGGCAAGCAAGAAGCAGGAGAGGAGACACCTGGTAAGTGCAGAGGTGGGTTCAGGGTATAGAAATGTAGAAGTCTGGCTGTGTTTCTGTGAGCTGGACATTTCCCTGTGTAGCTAATCAGTATGGTGAAACAGGGTGTTGATGCACACCAAGATCATACAGGAATCCTCCAGAGAGATCTCCAGGAAAGTTTCCTGGAGGTATTCGGCAATCCTCTGTGGAAGGCTCCTTGGCAGAGCAGCTTTGTTCCTTCCCCCATTGTAGGGAACTTTCCCGCGCCATTCGGCAATCACTTGTGCAGGGATCAAAGCAGCACACAAGTGAGCAACATAGGGAGAAGGGCGGAAGTCACAAGCATGTAGTAGATGCAGGGGCGGCTCCAGGCACCAGCGCATCAAGCGCATGCCTGGGGAGGCAAGCCGCAAGGGGTGGCCTGCCGGTCGCTGTGAGGGCGGCAGTCAGGCTGCCTTCGGTGGCATGCCTGTTGGAGGTCCACCAGTCCCGCGGTTTCAGCGGCAATTTGGCAGTGGGTACGCCGAAGGCACGGGACCGGCGGACCTCCTGCAGGCATGCCGCCGAAGGCTGCCTGACTGCCGTACTTGGGGCGGCAAAATACATAGAGATGCCCCTGAGTAGATGTACCCTCATGTGATGGGGTGGACTAGGTTCAAAAGCCCCCCGCTGGAGGCCTCACGGTTCAGCCACACCCATTCCAGGGAAGGTGCATTGGAGAGGTCTTCCAAGCAGGCTAGAGTAGCTGCAGGGGAAGCAGCCAATCAGGGCTCAGGAGGACCATATAAAAGATGTTGCAGAGCAGAGCAGTAGTCAGTTGCTGCTTGGAGCAGGAGAAGAAAGGACTGCAGGCCTGACTGCCTGGAAGAGCAGCAGGGCCCTGGGGGGCATTGAGGGAGCTCCTGGCTGGTTGCTAGGACTGAGTAGGGACTGAGCCTGGGAGGGCTGCAGGAAGATAGTGTCTCCAGTGAGGAAGCCCTGGAGATACAGCCCTATACCAGGGATGGACTTCTTAAAGACCAAAGCCCAGGGAGGGCAAGAGAGAGACACCACCACAGGGGTACTGAGATAGGCCCCGGTGGACTGTATACCCCAGAAGGGGTTTGTGCTAGTTAATATGCAGACAGTGTGACTCAGCTGGAGCGCTGTGTCACTGACAAACCTGCCTCAGACCACCGAAAGGAGTCACCAGAACTAAAGAACGCAGACTCACCCAACCAGAAGGGGGTACTTGCGAGAGGTGGGTGCCAACCCCGCTACAACTCATTTCCCTGCTTATCCTTAGCAGTGAGATCTGTGCTAGAATGACCCCCACCTTTGGAAAAGTGTGGGAGAATATTAGAATTTTTTCCCTAGTTGGCTGTGCCACAACCCTTGCAGAGTGACTGCTCTTTTCCCAATGTGGAGTGCCCCTCCTCCCCCACCCGCCAACACTCATCAGGCTTTGGGTGTTTGCAGAGATGTGTGCTTGCCATGTTGCTTGTTATTTTGCAAAAGGTGTATTTTACTGAAATGTTTTAATGCTGTGCATGAATTTAATAATTATGCTTCTGTGCATTGTTTCTTGTGCTTCGGCAGATGTGACCATCAGGAACACCCCCCACACGCTGGCCAAGCGTCTGCGCCAGATAAGAAAGCGCCCAAGATGGAGCAAAGAAAACATGTTCTGGGAGGTACTGCACTCCTCTCATGCCGAGAAAAGGGAACGCAAGGAGTGGTGGAAACCGAAAGGCAGGACAGAAAAGAAAATCAGGAGTTTGTTAAGGACGCTACTGAGTGGATGATTAAAGTAATGGAGGAGCAAACACAGAAGTTGAAGTCCTTAATAATGCTGAAGACTGAGTAGATCAGTACCCGCCCTCTCCTGCAGCACATTCAGAACTCTTTTCCATGTCCCCACCTTCCTTCAAACTCTGCCTGCACAGTCCTTTCCACTTTCCGGGACTTCTCGGTTTCTCCTTCACTCCACCCCCTCGGACAACGTTCATAATGATAGCTGGACCTACACACAGCTCTGAAAGTCTGCCCTTCCCTGGTACCTCCTTTCCCACCAAGCATCCTTGGGTGTTTGGGTGTGTTGTTTCTTGTGCAATAAAAGCAAAGTTTTGGAGTGGCAACTCATCTTTATTTGTTTTCTACAAATTGAGATAGCAGGCACTACCAATACATACACAGGCAGTTTATTCATGTGCTTGCTGGAATGTAAGGCCCCAAATATAACCATTACTTCCTAGGAAAACTACATGTAACGTAACATTGCAGCACTAATCACAGAGATAGACATTACTGGTTATCATTTTCAAAGTGTTGCCTCAAAGCCTCCCTCACTCGAATTGGCCCCCCTTGGGCAACTCTTATAGCCCTCGTATCTGGCTGCTCAAAATTAGCAGCCAAGTGGTCTGCCTCCACATTCCACCCCGAGCAAACCTTTCACCCTTAGCTTCACAAAGATTATGCAACGTACAACATTCGGCTATCACAATGGGAATATTATCCTCATTAAGGTCTAACCTGCCATAAAGGCTTCGCCAGTGTGCCTTTAATCTGCCAAAGGCACATTCCACTGTCATCCAGCACCTACTCAGCCTGTTGTTGAACCGCTCCTTACTGCTGTCCAGGTTTCCCATGCAAGGTTTCATGATCCATGGCTGTAAGGGGTACGCCAGATCTCCGAGGATCACTGTAATCTTCTGGTTTGGAAAGAGAGTCCCCGCTTGTAACTTTCTATACAGGCCGGTGTTCCTGAAGATGCATGCATCATGAACCTTCCTGGACCATCCCACGCTGATGTCAGTGAAACACCCACAGTGATGCACTTTCCACAAGTGCCTGCAACACTATGGAGAAGTATCCCTTTCCTATTGATGTACTCCATTGCAAGGTGGTTGGGTGGCAAAATTGGAATATGTATGCCATCCATTGCCCCTCCACAGTTAGGGAAACCCATTTCTGCAAAGCCATCCGCTATTTCACGCACATTTCCAAGAGTCAGGGTCCTTTGTAGCAGGATGCGATTAATTGCTCTGCACACTTGCATTAACGCAGCCCCAATGGTTGATTTCCCGACTCCAAATTGATTCGCGACCAACCAGAGTCGTCACCTTCCACACAGCAATTGCCACACGCTTCTCTACCGATAGGGCAGCTCTCATTGTGGTGTCCTTGCCCTGCAGTGCTGGGGCAAGCTCCACACACAGTTCCAGGAAGGTGGCTTTCCACATCCGAAAGTTCTGTAGCCACTGCTCATTATCCCACACCTGCATGACGATATGATCCCACCATTCAATGCTTGTTTCCTGAGCCCAAAAGTGATGGTGTACCCTATGCAGTTGTTCTGTGAATGCGAAAAGCAATCTAAAGTTGCTCCTATCCATATCACACAGCATGTCACACAAATGGGAGCTTCTTCAGTTAGGAACTTTGCGATTAACTGCACTGCCATCCGCAATGTCTTCATGACAGCTAACAGAGCAAAGGAGACCAGTGCAGAATCCATCCCTTCTCACAAAGATACCGGGGTGCACAGCAAAGAATGGCCATTGAAAAATGCTGCAAAAGAAAGCCGACAGAAAGCAATGCATCACGGGACATTGAGCCCAGTCCCAAGATACACTGCAATCCGCTCCGCCTTCCCACAACACCTAATGACAGAAAGTGTCGAGCTGGACTGTGGGATAGGTACCCACAGTCCACTGTTCACACTGTTGATGATAGTGCCCCAACTGTGGACACACTCTGCCGACAGAGGGAGCGATTGTGAACATGACATTCCGATTTTTACTATGCTGATTTCTGAGTGTTGACATCACTTTTGTTGACAAAACTTGTTAGTGTAGACAAGGCCTAAGCTAAGCTGATGATATTTTCTTCTGAACTGCTGAGTTATACTCAGCGAAACCCTTCTTTTTCAAGGTGATTTGTGGAGCGTATA